GGGGGGGAGTAGTGCTGGTTATGTTGTAATTCTTTTAGAGGTCAACACTTGTGTGTTAATAGACAGTTGGGGGTAAATGTGTCCAGATGAGATCCCATGGGGGTGGTTGTGGGTGGCTTCTGTACTTTCGTCTCTTTGAAGTGAACAGTGTCGTGTACAGGAAGTAGTGAGCTCCGGTGATGACTTGCCATGCTAATACAGAGGAAGCTCGCCACTGACGAGGTGTGCTTGTCAGGAGCTGTCCCGTGAGTTGACACTTCAGCCTAACTGAGGAGTTTGCTACAGCCGGACATACGGGGCACTTTTTAAAAAAATTATTTATAGCGTGTATGTTATTTGTCTCTGGGTTTACATAGCCAGAGTATGTTATTTGTGTCTCCTTATTTATGTAGCCGTAAGCTGACAAAATGCATTTTTTTCATTTTGGCGTCAAAATTTTGTATTTGCTAAATTGGGAGTCTGATCAGTAACCCTGCTTGTGTGGGAAAAAAAATCAAAGTGAAACAGTGACTACTAGTTTTTGAATAAATTCAGATTCAAATTTCATAATCAATCTATTTTTATATGGTTACGCTGACAAAACCCCCCCCCCCCATCTATTTCTCGATACTTCTGTGAAGAAAGAAAAATATGTTTTGTCAGCGTACGGCAGTATGGGTTATTTGGCTCATCTATTTTATAGATGTAGTTTCTCTCGTTATTTATGTAGTCACTGTAGATTTTCTGGCTCATTTATTTTATAGCACCGTCCAAAAGACACTGGAAAATGTGGTCACCCAAACTTCGTTTTAAAGCCTTGCATTACTCACTCTTGTGTGACCTTTGTGTTTGTTGCATGTGCCGTAAAACTTTTACTAAAAGTTATAGAAGAAGGAACATTTTATTTTATTTAAAAAAGAATGATGTGTTGTTTCAGAGACGATGATGAGAGAGAAGATGACATGACCAAGGATGATTTGTACGATGATGAAAACTCTCAGAGCTCTGTCAAGGAAGGAAAGACGAAGAAGAAGAAAGGGAAGGGGGACAAGAAAAGTAAAAAGTCTGAGGCAAAAGTGGAGGAGGTGGTGGAGGGAGTTGAGGATAAAACAGAGGCGAAAGAGGAGGAAAAATCTGACGGGACGGCAGAGGAGAAGTCTGAGAAGTCTGGAGAGAAAGTTGACGAGGCAGGAGACAAGGAGAAGGGAGAGGAGAAGAAAGACGACGACGCCGACGACCAAGCAGACGCGAAGAAGATGGAGGAAGAACCGGAAAAGGAAGACGTGGATAAGAAAGCGGAGGAGAACGTGGAGGAGAGATCGGATGATTTGCCAAAGGAAAAGTGTCAGGGTGTGGCAGAGAGTGGGGATACCAGGGACGATGCCGCAGACGGGGAAGCTGTGGAGAACGGCAGTGGTAAGTTAAGTAGGTCATTGTCTGTGAGCACAGGGCTCGACTCAGGGCTCAACACGGGGTAGCTATTCGCGACCGCAGTGCTTTCTTGTTCTATCTCCATTTTTAATAACAGTGAAAACAGTTCGTAACAAAGAGTGAGCTTAAGAAGTCACATTTTCACTGTTAAAAAAAAAAAAAGAGATACGACAAGAAAGCACTGAGGTTGTGCATTGCTTTTGACCTGTCAGAACGTCATGAGTTAATATAGTGGGGGTTTTTTTGTTTTGTTTTCTGATTTTTGCTCTTTCATTTCATTGTCTGCCGACATTTTTTGCTATTCATACATATTATCTCCTTGTCAGAAACTTAAATCACTATAAAAAGGTGAGTTTTAGGAAAGTAAAGTTGATTTTTATGGGCCTGTGTTCCTGTTTATATAAAGGGCAGAGTATAAGCTTATAGTGTAAGCTGAATTCATAGATTGTATGTAAATGTGAACTTGGATTTTAAAAAAAATGGAAATGCTATTGTAGTTATTCCTTGTCTTTCCTTGCGGGTCGTGCTCTGTGTTGAAAATGTCAGCTTGGAAACTGCTTGTATACTTTTAAAAAAAATCTTGGGTAGGGGTGTGTGGAAGAAGTGTGTTGATTTAGTGGCTGTCTCTGAAATAAATGGAGAATATTTGGAAAGAAGAGAGAACAAGTGGTTGGTTGGCGGGTGCTCTGGTGTGGTTTGCTTCTTCTTTCCTATCAAACATCTATCGTCCTTATCTCCCCTTCTTCTTTTTTATGTTTGTTACTCTCTTGTAACACCTCTAATCTTCTGGCGCTCATATGACCGCATGCAGTTGCGAGCGCCGTAAAACCTCTACTAAAACTAAAGGGGTGTGTGGAAGAAGTGGGTTGATTGAGTGGCTGTCTCTGAAAGAAATGGAGAATATTTGGAAAGAAGGGAGAACTAGGTTGGGTTTTTTCTTACAGTGTTTCTCTCTTGTTTTGCGACAGATGACGGCAAGTATCTGCCCTTCCCCGACGCCTCCAACCTGAACGTGCGGCTCAGGAAGTGCATCACCAACTACCAGAGGCACTACAAGAAACGGATGCTGAAGAACGAACAGCTGCAGAGGGTGAGACAACAGCTTTTTAAAAAAAAAGTTCATATCTCTCCTCCTCCTTTCCTATCCACCATCTATCTTCCGTATCTCTACTCTTTCTTTCCTATCAAACATCTATCGTCCTTATCTCTCGTCCTCCTTTCCTATCAACCATCCATCGTCTGTTTCTCTCCTTCTTTTCTATCAAATATCTATTGTCTTTAGCTCTCCTCCTTCTTTCCTGTCCACCATCTATCTTCCGTATCTCTCCTCCTTCTTTCCTGTCCACCATCTATCTTCCGTATCTCTCCTCCTTCTTTCCTGTCCACCATCTATCTTCCGTATCTCTCCTCCTTCTTTCCCGTCCACCATCTATCTTCCGTATCTCTCCTCCTTCTTTCCTGTCCACCATCTATCTTCCGTATCTCTCCTCCTTCTTTCCTGTCCACCATCTATCTTCCGTATCTCTCCTCCTTCTTTCCTATCAACAATCTATCGTCCGTATCTCTCCTCCTTCTTTCCTATCAACAATCTATCGTCCGTATCTCTCCTCCTTCTTTCCTATCAACAATCTATCTTCCATATCTCTCCTCCTCCTTTTCTCTGTTTGTCATTCTCAAGTCCTATCACCTAATCTGTGGCACTTGACTGCCGTCAAATCTTTAAAATACAGTATGTGAGTTTTTACAATTTTACTGGAGAGCCAAAAAACTGAATGTTGTTACTTGGTAAAACATTTGCCTCACAGATAACGAGGGAAATATGATCGAAACGTTGTTCATTAACCCTCTCCTTATGCCCTGGGGTCATTTTGTATCTCCGAGGTTGTATTCTTCACATTTTAGAATAATTCTACAACAAAGATCTCTTTGAAATTTTCAGTATTTCTCAAAAAATCATTTTGACAGACTGCTATGCAAAGCGTACGGATCGGATTAACGAGTAAATTTCCTCATTGGAAAGTGGGGGCACAGAGTTGCCCGCGTCGTATGGATACGATCGTAAAACACAACGTACGGATAGGGTTAAGTGGTGGCTCAGAGTTCCCCACGTCGTATGGATACGATAGTAAAACACGACGTACGGATAGAGTTAAAATATTGACTTTGGATGTTTTGCAAAGAGTTTGTTTTCTTTGTAACAATAATGCCGTCCTGTAAAATTGTAAAAACTGCATATACTGTATTTAAAAAAATGATGGCAGTCATTTGACCTATGTGTGTTGCAAGTGCTGTAAAACTCCTACTGAAACTAAAACGAAGTCCTGCCATCCCCTATTTTTGTCTCAGAGAATGGAGAGAAGAGAAAAACTGGACGTCTCCAAGGACAAGGAGCGAGATTTCAAGCGGAAGGAGATTCAGCAGAGGTAATTAATTGATGACGACCACCGCGGGGTAAAACGGTTTTGTTGTTGTATGTCTGGCGGACATGCTGTTCAAATGTACGAAGTTTGGAAGACGACATTGATCAGGGCAGGGAAAAAAACTTGTAGCAATTTTACTTGCATTATGTATATATATTTGGGGGGAAGGGGGGGGGGGGTTGTTCTTTCAACATTAAGAATTTGAACAAAAGATAAAGAAACAGAGACAAACCAGTTTTCCAAATGTTGAACTTTTGTACTTTGTAACATTT